TGCAGCCGACACACTAACGTGTCATGACACACAATTTGGAAAGCTCTGCTCTAGATGTTCAGGCTGAGAATCTTTTCCAACCTTACCTGCGGATGCCAGGGATCAAACCTAGAACCTTCTGTGTGCAAACTGCTGAGCTACAGTTTTCAAAATTATATTCCAGCTTTTCACCTTCCCAGTCTCAAAGTAGCTGTACAGCTCAGCAGAGTCAAATGTGCATGAAATAGCTGATTAGTACCAGTTAAAATTTTTACCAGTACAAAGCACCTACTACCCCAATCTTGTATTACCGATATATGCTTGGGCCTTGCTGAGCTGCCAGAGTTGTAAAGGAGTCTCTGGTAATGTTTGAACTTGGCGCACTGATGCCATAATTGGACATTATGCTTTGGAGTGATCAGAGATACTAGCTGGGGGCCTCCTTAGGTAACATAGCTGCATAACTGGGTGCTCAAAGGGAAAAGGAGTCATCCGCTGTATGAGAATGCTACTTCCATCCCTTTATGCAAAATGCCAGGCTTTTAAAAGCCTCTGCCACTGCTGGCTTTGCAGCTGCATGCCAGACATGGCTCCTATCAAGGCAGAGGGTCTGACTGTGGGAGAAAAGCATTATGGGAAAAGCTGTAGCTCACTGGTAAAGTGTATGCTCTGCATGCAAGAATGGCCAATCCCTGGCACATCTAGGTAGGGTTGGGAATTATTTTTATTATTATTATTTGTTTTTTGCTTGGTTTGTTTGTTTATACATACCCCGCCCATCTGGCTGCATTTCCCCAGCCACTCTGGGCGGCTTCCAGCAAAATATTAAAATACAATAATTCATCAAATATGAAAAGCTTCCCTAAACAGGGCTGCTTTCAGGTGTCTTCTAAAAGTCAGGTAGTTGTTTATTGCCTTGATATCTGATGGGAGGGCGTTCCACAGGGCAGTGCCACTACCGAGAAAGCCCTCTGCCTGGTTCCCTGTAGCTTTGCTTCTCACAATGAGGGAACCGCCAGAAGGCCCTCGGTGCTGGACCTCAGTGTCCAGGCAGAATGATGAGAGTGGAGACGCTCCTTCAGATATACTGGACTGAGGCCATTTAGGGCTTTAAAGGTCAACACCAACACTTTGAATTGTGCTCAGAAATGTACTGGGAGGCCAATGTAGGTCTTTCAGGACCGGTGTTATGTGGTCTCAGCGGCCGCCCCCAGTCCCCAGTCTAGCTGCTGCATTCTGGAATAGTTGTAGTTTCTGGGTCACCTTCAAAGGTAGCCCTACGTAGAGTGCATTGCAGTAGTCCCAAGAGGGAGATAACTAGAGCATGCACCACTCTGGCGAGACAGTCGGGGGGCAGGTAGGGTCTGGTACGGTGCAGCTTCTTATGTGCAGCAGGGCTGAGAATCAGAGGCTCCTTCTTTTTCAGAAGAGGGTACAAGCCCAACTTGGAGGGTTTTTAAAATAAAAAATGTGGGGCCTAACCCTACCACACAATGGTGTTTTGTTTTGTTTTTTGGCTTATTGCTGTTCAGGAGACTTACCGTATTTTTCGCTCTATAACACGCACCAGACCATAACACGCACGTAGTTTTTAGAGGAGGAAAACAAGAAAAAAAAATATTCTAAACGAAACAGTGGATGTATGATTTTTGTGGTTCATGCTGTGGCCACAGACATGTGATCTGACAGTGAGTTTGGAGTAGCCCAATGCAAAAATCCTGAGTATCCATGTGGATCCATGCTTTGTAACCACGGAGGAGGGAAGGAAGGGGAACCATGGATCCTCTGCTCACGACTGCAGCAGATCCCCCCCGCCACCCGGAGGCATTCGCTCCATAACACGCACAGACATTTCCCCTTACTTTCTAGGAGGAAAAAAGTGAGTGTTATGGTGCAAAAAATATGGTATTTTCTGCTATGGCAGTGGACTTGCTGAATGCTTATCGCCTATCCCCTGGTCCACTAGTTTAAGACTAGTTGGTCCACTAGTTTAAGAACTACATCGCATCGGCAGTTCCTTTGAACCGCAAGCTGAACCTCTTCTCTCATTGGTCATTTCACCGTCTTTAAGCAACGAGACTGCTGCGCACCTTCTGCAACATGGAAGCTAATTCACCCAGTTTATTGGGTGACCTTGCTCTCCTAACATCTTAACCCATTTCCAAGGGAAGTGTGTCCTATTTTCAAAGTCTCTCCCTTCGCCCACTTCTAAGCCGAGCTATTTATGTCTGGAAAAAGGGCCTTCATATGCAGCGTTCTGTTCTGAGACTCTTGATTAATAACTGATATAAATTTAGGAAAGGTTGTTGACCTTAGTGCAGATTACTTTGGCTTTGATGCGTTTTAGTTTGATACACCATTCTCTCCCCCCCTCTTTTCCCTTAATGTTATTTTTCTTGCGTGGCTTAATTAGGTTAATTTCCAAGCTCCTTGACATGCTGATTTATGCCTTTTCCGTCTCCCACCCCTCAAAGCTCTGATTGCTGAGAGTTGGCATGAATGAGATCAGAGAATCCCCTGTGGTGTCTTGGAATTCTGCCAGCAAGATTCCTTTCTTGGACAAGGGTCTCTGTAAAATGGGGACTTCATAGATCTATTCAAACACTGCTGCTGCTTTTTCTTTGGCTACATCCAAGTCCCAAGGCAGCTTGAATCTGGACTCTGGCTTGCAATTATTAAAACAATAATGCTGGTTGTTGGTGCTTTTTTTACCATGAATTTAAAAGTTAGGCATTGGGCTACTGTATTCCTTTGTGGCTGTCCACAAAACAGCCAAACAAAAAGGAAGGAAATCCCAACAAGCCAAGAGAGGGGATTACAAATTCCTCTCTATCGGAGGAAAAAAATTCAGCTAGGGATATAATAACTTGATATTTTGGAGCAGCAGAACCCACACTTCGGAACTCCCTGCCTATTGATAGCAGGCAGGTGTAATGATCTCTGGGAGGCAAGCAAGCCCCGATAATAAGTAATGACTCTCTGGCAATTTTATGTACGTTTATTTTCAACAAAACACATCCAGAGCATGGCTTCTCGCCTGCTCGCATTGACGATAGTTGGTCAATCTGAATTTTTGCCCCTCCCACAGCAGGAAGGATGCCAAACTTCCACCTTTCCCCTCTTGCCCTTCCGTTGCCCTCTGATATTATTCATTCTCCTAGAACGAGGACTGAGAGGCTGGCCTTCGCCCTCCCCACTTTTACTTGATACAGTCTCAGACCTCTGCTTATCTGCTGATTGCCTAGCAACGCTCTGGCTACCTTCCAACTCTTCCTCTTCTTGAGAGCTAACAGTGTATTTCCTCAAGAAGGGGGGTCGAACTGCCCTTTCTCGACTCTTGTCAGCCAGCTCTCATCTGCAGAGTCGGTCCCTCCTTCACTTACCTCAAATTCTGAGTCTGACTCTTCCCCTGCGTTCTGGTGAGCCACATTCCTAACAGCAGGCCCCTTCCCTGTACTTTCTTCAGTGCCCGCTAAACACAGCTTTGTTTAGACAGGTTCAGAAGATAGATGTGAGTTTTCATCTGTTTTTAGTCTATTGTTTTAAGTTTTTGAAAGCTTGATAACGTTACAGTTTTATCAAATGGCGTATACATTTTTAATGAAATAAAAAAAAATGTCAAAGAATTCCACCAGAAACGGACTGGAAATTGCTACAATTCACATGGTCTTCATCCAAGGTCAGGAACAGAAAGAATGCAAACAGCATTGGCTGTCTCCTCCCCCCCCTTTTTTTTTCTTTTAGTCTATCCATATTTTAGTTTCAGCCATCACAGATGGCGAGATGAATAATGTAAGCCTTGGCAGAAACTGAACTGTAGCGGAATAGAAACATCACTGGTTGCAACGAACGCAGGGCAGGGCAGAAATCATTGCCTCCTCGTGTCCCTTGTATCAAACTCATGGCTTGTTTCCAAGTGTATTTTGAATGTTTCTGACTTATGGGTCTGTCACGGCGGGGGGCCTCCTCCAATGTCTCACCCTTTAATAAGAATTAGCATTATTGTTTGGAAGCAGGGAACTATCCACCGTATTGGGTATACTTCATTTTGTTTTATTGAGTCATGTTGTGTTTTGTTGGTTTGTAATTGTTTTATCATATAATTGTAGAGTTGGAAGGGACCCCAAGGGGTTTCTAGTCCAACCCCTTGCAATGCAGTAATCTCAACTAGATCATACGTGACAAATGCCCATCCAATCTCTGCTTCAAAACCTCCTTACTAATTTAGTTTGTAGGTGCTGGTCATGTTCTGTTGATAATCACCTTCCTTGGTGGTCATTCCAAGTAAGTGGGAATGACAGTGTTTATCTAGATCTATCTCTTTGGATCTCCATCGTTCTGCCTGGACACTGAGGTCCAGCACCGAGGTCCTTCTGGCGGTTCCCTCGCTGTGAGAAGCCAAGTTACAGGGAACCAGGCAGAGGGCCTTCTCGGTGGTGGCATCCGCCCTGTGGAATGCTCTCCCATCAGATGTCAAAGAGAACAACAACTACCAGACTTTTAGAAGACATCTGAAGGCAGCCCTGTTTAGGGAAGCTTTTAATGTTTAATAGGTTATTGTATTTTGGTGTTCTGTTGGAAGCCGCCCAGAGTGGCTGGGGAAACCCAGCCAGATGGGCAGGGTATAAACAAACAAACAAACAAACACATAAATAAATAAATAATTATCTTAAGAAGTTGAAGACCATTGGTTCATTTAGCTCATCATTGCCTACCTCGAATAGCAATGGCTTACAAGAGTTTTAGAAGAAGAAGAAGCGTTTGGACTTGATATCCCGCTTTATCACTACCCGAAGGAGTCCCAAAGCGGCTAACAATCTCCTTTCCCTTTCTCCCCCACAACAAACACTCTGTGAGGTGAGTGGGGCTGAGAGACTTCAAAGAAGTGTGACTAGCCCAAGGTCACCCAGCAGCTGCATGTGGAGGAGCGGGGAAGCGAACCCGGTCCCCCAGATTACGAGTCTATCGCTCTTAACCACCACACCACAGTGGATACAGTAAGAGTCTCACCCTGTACTACTTGGAGATGTCAGAGATTAAAACCGGGACCTTCTGCATGCAAAGCAGATGCTCTAGCACTGAGCCACAGCCCTTCCTCTTAAGTAGCAGCTGGAAGTGATACCCAGGAGTTCTCGAGACAGGGCCATAGCTCCTGTTACCAAGTTCCATATAGCTCTGTGGCTTTAAAACATTTCTGTTCATTCTTTTGGCTTTCTCCCAGGGGGTGGTCGCGGTGCAACGTGAAACAACAGTAGCTTTTCAGAGAACGATTCAACTGTTTGCCTGTAGTAGCGGCAGACAGAGGACAACCCATTTAATAAATCAGCCGAAGCAAGAAAGCTCCATAAAAACGTTCAACTAACCTTTCTCTGAACCTGCCAGCTTCAATTATTTCTCAGTTTTATTTTTTCTTTCTTGATTTGCATATTTTCTCCATTGCCTAGCTTAACAAAGAATCCTGAACCTGGTCTCCTAATCACAGAAACATCTCCTGCTTCAAAAGCAACTGTTGCTTCTAGGGAATGCTAGATACGTTTTTTTTCTGTTGGGGAGGTAGGACCAGATACTGGCTGCTGGTGCCCCTGCCTTGCTGTGTTGTATGTTTTCTGAATTCCCTTTGATATTGACCTTGGGCTGTTGCTTGACTTTGGATCATGTTTGGATCTGGACTGCTTCTCCACGCTTGACCTTGGTTCATTTGGATTGTTCTGCATCTGCCACCCTCTGCTCCTTGTTGAGTTCTTTAGTGAAGGCTTGTATCTCCTGTAACTGGGAGCCTGGGGGGCATCCCCCAGAATGAGACATTGCGCTTGACAGGTGTCTGTATTGGGGAATGTACATAACAGGATGGAAACCCAAGACTCCAGGGCCAGTAACTGAAGGCAAAGCATAGACTCATAGAACGGTAGAGTTGGATGGGACCACAAGAGTAATCTAGTCCAAGCCCCTGCAATGCAGGAATCACAGCTAGGTGGCCACCTGATCTGTTTAAAAGTCTTCAATGAAGGCAAGCACACCACCTTCTGAGATTCAGTTAGGACCTAGATCAGATTACAGGGGTGCTTGGTCCTGAGCAGCAGACATCTTAGACCACAGCTGGTGAAGAAGAAGAGGAGTTTGGATTTGATATCCCGCTTTATCACTACCCTGAGGAGTCTCAAAGCAGCTAACATTCTCCTTTCCCTTCCTCCCCCACAACAAAAATTCTTAGGTGAGTGAGGCTGAGAGACTTCAAATAAGTGTGACTTGCCCATGGTCACCCAGCAGCTGCATGTGGAGGAGTGGAGACAAGAACCCGGTTCCCCAGATTACGAGACTACCGCTCTTAACCACTACACCACACTGGCTGTTGGAACTGTTTAAATAGGGCCCCCACTCACCACATGCAGGAGGGAGGAGAACCCTGAACAATGGTGCGCAAGCCCTTATATAGACTTTTGAAATTGCCCATCCTGTAGCCTAAGACCAACCCCCAAAACATCATGCATACATCACAGAAGGAGGCGGTCTACAGCAGAAACCCTGCCTGCCAGGATACCTGATAATGGTCACTGATTGCATTACCTGGGCAGTCTGGCCATTCTTCAAAGAAGTGTGACTTGCCCAAAGTCACCCAGCAGCTGCATGTGGAGGAGCGGAGATACGAACCTGGTTCGCCAGATTACGAGTCCACCTCTCTTAACCACTATACCACACTGGTGAATGACCTTTCAGATGTTGTTGAGCTCCAACATCCGTCAGCCCCAGCCAGCATTGTGCAAAGCTGTCCCTCCTCACCTCTGTATTCCTAAGAGTTGCCAATATGCCCCTTGGCCATTTACAATATACTTTTAAAAACCTCACCCACATATGTAGTTGTGGCTGCTCCATTAGGGTGAATGGGATACTGTCCCACCAACTTCATCCAGCCCTTGCCTGCCCTGCCTTCTTGCTTACAACCAGAGGGGGATTTAGGGCAACCTCAGCTGTGCAGGGACACTGGCCATGCAGCCAAGGAGGGTCCTTTCTCAAAGCCCGGGAAGCACTTACCAGCTTTGGGAATGAGGTGTGACAGCTCTGGCAGGGTCCTAGAGTCCTCCTGTCTCCTTCCCAAAGCCAAGCAAGAGCCGGCGTGGTGTAGTGGTTAAGAGCGGTGGACTTGTAAACTGGTGAACCGGGTTCGCTTCCCCGCTCCTCCACTTACAGCTGCTGGGTGACCTTGGGCTAGTCACACTTCTTTGAAGTCTCTCAGCCTCACTCACCTCACAGAGTGTTTGTTGTGGGGGAGGAAGGGAAAGGAGATTGTGAGCCACTTTGAGACTCCTTAGGGTAGTGATAGGACGTGGGTGGCGTTTGGGGTTAAACCACAGAGCCTAGGTCTTGCCGATCAGAAGGTCGGCAGTTCGAATCCCTGCAACGGGGTGAGCTCCCGTTACTCGGTCCCTGCTCCTGCCAACTTAGCAGTTCGAAAGCACGTCAAAGTACAAGTAGATAAATAGGTACCACTCTGGGGGGAAGGTAAACAGCATTTCCATGCGCTGCTCTGGTTCGCCAGAAGCAGCTTAGTCATGCTGGCCACATGACCCGGAAGGTGTACGCTGGCTCCCTCGGCCAATAAAGCAAGATGAGCGCCGCAACCCCAGAGTCGGCCATGACTGGACCTAATGGTCAGGGGTCCCTTTACCTTTAGGGTAGTGATAAAGTAGGATATCAAAACCAAACTCTTCTTCAGGAAGGAGCAGGAGGGTTCTAGGACCCTGCCCAAGGCTTGTGCCCGCTTCTCCAAACCTGGTGACTCACTTAGCTGGCTTTGGGAAGGCAGTGCAAGGACTGGGGGCATCAAATGTTGGCCTTGCACAGGGTGGCATATTACCAAGGTCGGCCCCTGTTACAACCAGTCATGGGGGAGCTTTGCCTGTCATTGACTCTGGCTCCACTTACTGCTGGCCTCCCAGCCTTCTGCCCTACCAGTCCAATGGGCACCAGCCACCACGGCTGCATTCACCCCAGTTTGTTTGTCCCTTTGTATATAGATTGGCTACTATAGGAAGCACCCCTGTGAATTTCATCGAGTGCCATGTTGAACCTGGAGACTGGGGAAGACAGCTCCTCTTTCTGTACTGGTGAAAGCAGGAGATAGATTGCAGTCATGAGACTCTGCAGTGCTCCACTTATTATTGGAAGGGATGAGGTTCCAGTGTTGGTAAAAGCAGGGGGTGGATTGCAGAAGCAGGACGCTAGCTTTCAGTTGCCAGGTCTGGAAGAGCTGAAGGCAAGGATGTTCTGGAAGCGCTTCAAGGGATAACAGCTGAAGCAGTGCTAAAATGGTAATATGTGATCACGTTGAGGATTTCAGGAACGAGAGATCAAGCTGCAATCCAGGACAGCTTTCGCCTGCAGGAAAAGGATAGAGTAGGAAGGAAAGGAGAAGAAAAATCCTGGGCAGCATTACCCTGCTGATAAACCAAGGAAAAGCTTTGGAAAGCAGGGCAGGAACCTAAGAGATGCTCTCACTGCATATGGATATGTAGAAGAGCTGGTGGAACAGCGTCCATGTAAATCAAGGCTGGGTTTCCACCTCTTCTTCCTCTGCTAAAGGGAATTGTGGAGAGTGTTAATCAATTTTGCATGTAAATCCCTGCACATCTAATCCCTCCGATACGAAAAAGCTGAGCAAAATGTTTGCATTTCAACAAAGGGCGTCTAAAAGTGATAGGCAACATTTGCATTCAGCATTTCTGAAATTGCTTACAAATGAGTTCCAGCGGGACGCTGCTCTAATTCTTTCCTCCTTCCCTGTTCTGGCATTTTCTTTATCTTTAAAAATGGCACAGGACACCAAATCCTGGCAATCCCGTTCCCCCACAAAAACTGTTCTTCCCCTGTCCCACTTTATAGCCATGGGGTTGTAGCCATGGTGTATCAGGAGCGGGTGACAGGAGCAAGTCAGTAAAAACTCACATACATGTGAGTTCAAAATACATGGGGACTCAAAATTAAAGGTTAGTTGGCTCTGAGACAGAAACAAGGCAAACGAGGGAAACATTTTGGAATCAGGGTGCTGAGAGTTGTCAGGAGATCCCTGATCCCATCATCCCTTTCTGGCTAAGGAATAAAAGGATTTGGGAGTGGAACCAGCACCTGACAAGGACCAGGTTGGCTACCCCTGCCCCAGGGTAGTTAGCAGAGCAGTGTTTCTCAAACCTGGGTCCTCAGCTGTTGTTGGACTGCAACTCCCATCATTCCTGACCACTGGTCCTGCCATCTCAGGATGATGGCAGTTGTAGTCCAACAACAGCTGGGGACCCAAGTTTGTGAAACACTGCTGTAGAGTCATTCCCTGCGTAACATACTTACTGGGTATGTGTTGGTATATTCCACATCCTAAATACAATAATTTGAAGGGGTCTTACAGTACGCTTCATGTCAGGAGCTGGAAACCCAATTTCCTCATTGTGAACCTTTCGGTGGTCACGCACCAGTGGTGCATGGGGTCCGAGGCAAAAATTGGGGTAGCAATGGCCATAGTTATTGCCTGTGTAAGGTCCTTATAGTTAAAGCCATGGTTTTCCCAGTAGTGATGTATGGAAGTGAGAGCTGGACCATAAAGAAGCAATTGATGCTTTTGAATTATGGTGCTGGTGGAGACTCTTGAGAGTCCCATGGACTGCAAGAAGATCAAACCTCTCCATTCTGAAGGAAATCAGCCCTGAGTGCTCACTGGAAGGACAGATCCTGAAGCTGAGGCTCCAATACTTTGGCCACCTCATGAGAAGAGAAGACTCCCTGGAAAAGACCGTGATGTTGGGAAAGATGGAGGGCACAAGGAGAAGGGGACAACAGAGGACGAGATGGTTGGACAGTGTTCTCGAAGCTACCAGCATGAGTTTGACCAAACTGCAGGAGGCAGTGGAAGACAGGAGTGCCTGGCGTGCTCTGGTCCATGGGGTCACGAAGAGTCGGACACGACTAAACGACTAAACAACAACAATTGCCTGTGTCCCATAGGCCACGTTTAAATTGGAGGTGTCGATACACACCTCACATCTTTCCATGCTCCATCCAGCAGGATAGACGTACCCTCACATTTCCAGGGTTTATTCCAAGTGAG